TATAGTCTTGACCTTCTAGGCTCAGGTGATCCTTCTGCTTCAGCCTTCTGAGTGGTTCGTGTGCTAGGACTACAGGCACATGCTACCACCACACCTGGCTAATTTTTTTTTTTTTTGTAGAGATGAGGTCTCACTATGTTGTCTAGGTTGGTCTCAAACTCCTCGGCCTCCCCAAGTGCTGGGATTGCAGGTATGAACCTGGCCTGTGCGAAACACTTTTGCTGACATTATCCCATTTAAAAGTCACACTTTCCTATGAGGTCGGTACTGTTGTCATTCTTGTTTCTAAAACAAGGAAACTAAGGCACATAGAGGAGAAATAACTGTCTCAAGGTGACACAGGACTACTGAGCAGCAGTGCTGAGACTTAAGCCTACACCCATCTGGCCCACACGACACACATGCTTATTTGATCAGCTTGTGGGGCAGAGTCACGGTTATGGTGTTGTTACCAAGGATGGTGGTACGATACAGAGAGAGCTTAAGTCTTGGAAGTGGAAGATATGGTCGGTGTCAAGCTTTCCCGGCTTGCAGAGGGTCCTGCCTGTCAGCCTCAGTGTTCTCAGAGTGATGATAATTGTAACCTCTTAAGATTGTGGGGAGGCAGAAAGAAAAGAGGCTAGCACAATGCCTGGCACATAGCAGGGCTTCCTAGATGTTGGCTGAGTATATTGTTGAACTTGAATTCAATACAGCTCATCAAACTAATGTTTACCGGGCATTAGACCAAGTGGCAGGCAATGTGCTGGATACAAAAATTATAGTGTTGAGCCATAAGAGACAAAGCCCTTGTCCTCAGGGGGCTGGGTTGGAGAGAACACCATGTGTAATCACGCAAATGAATGCAGAATTCTAACTCCAAGGATAGCTGTGTGGTACGTGAGATGCTCCTCAAATGCTCTGTGTCCAAAATGCAACTGGCCGTCTTCCCCTGCACCTGCTCCTCTCCCCAGACTCTCCTTCTCATGGTGACACCACTGACCTGCCTGCTGGAGCTGACACTCTAGAAGTCAACACCCAACCTTTTCACAAACTGTGCCCATCAGCCCCAGAACCTACAGCCCTCCCTGGCTGCTTTTGTCTAGCATTTGTAGTGTGGCCATGTGACAGACATTCACAGATTGTGGGGGTGCTTGCTACAGCAGGGGTTGGAGGAATGGTAACAGGACGAGCCAAAACACCTTCTCAATGGGCCCGCAGTTCCTGCCAGTGGAGACATTTTACTCAGGTCTCTGTACACATGCACCCATCATAGGTTGATACCATGAAAGAAAGGTTAGGCACTTGTAAACTTATTCTCCTAGAGGTAGGAAGAGGACAAATTTGACAATTCCCAGGGCAGATCAACCAGCTGGGGACAAAGAGAAGCTGTGAAAGGAGTTAATTTTGCCTGGTAGAGCTTGAGGGCATACAGTTCTTCTAGCTTGTGTGATTTATTTAAATATCGATTGGCTTTTAGAAATGTTTTTTCCCCCAAAGGAAGCCTTAAAGTGTCGCTCTCTGCTTGTCACCACGATCTCTAGTCTCGCTCAGACTGATGATCAAGAGCTGGAAGCCAGCTCCTTGCGGGCTGTTCTGGTCCCAGGCATCCAGGCAGGATGCGCTCCAGGACTGGCCAAGGCTGATGGCTGTTGCCCAGTAACCCATGAGATTCAGAAGGGCTCTGGCAGTACCAATACTGGGCAGAAGAGGGCGACAGAACCACATTCAGGGAGCACATCTCTGCCCAGAAGGACTTCTCACTTTCAGGAGCTTAGTCAATAGTTTTCAGCCTTGTGAGGCACGCGGGACAATGCTATTATTCCCATTCCACAGGTGAGAAAACTGAGTCTCGATGAGATTACGTGATTTTCCCCAAAATCAGACAGCTGGGAACACTGGAGACATTTATATTTCCAGACAAGAGCGGATGATTGGAAGAGTCTTAGGGCCACGGGGCTTGAGGCTTCTTTTGCAGAGTACTTTTTGCAAAATGGAGATAATGCCGATTGTCCAGTACTGCTTCAGTTAGAACGTGGCAGGGCAGGGATATGAGCTCAAGCCTTCCAGTTCCAAAGCTGGGGTCCTGGGCTCTGCAGAGGGCAAGTGGGTCATCCAGTTCTCTGGGCATTGGCTGCCCACCCACCCCACTTAATCCTGTCTCTGTTCTCTCGGCCCTTGTCCTGAGCCCGAGTAAGCGTGAGCAAATAACACGCTAATACAATGGCTCTGAGTGTTGGCAGAGAGGCCCCAGGTCGAAGCCTGAGTCTAGCCCTCGGGCCTTCTGGAAAGCAGTACCGTAGAGAAGCAGAGCTAGAGGGTTGATCAATGTTGTGCTGTGTTTCCATATGCTGGGCTGAACGTATGGAAAGCTTGATGGTGGTAACAGCAATATTAGCCTGTTCCTCTGGTCCAGGACCTGTGCCAAGAGCGCTCACTGGGTTATCATATCTAATCCTCTCAAGAAGCCTGTGAGGCAAGTGATAGTCTTATTCTTACTTCGCAAGTGAGAAACATGAGAACAGAAAGGTGATGCAGGTTGCCCAAACTCACTTGGCAAATAACCCCACGTTTCTCAGATGCAGACATCCTTGCACACACTCGTACGGCTGCACTGAGCTGCTTGCTGGGGGGCTCCTGACACCTCGGGCCAGGCGGCCAGATCCATAGCAGACTCTAGAAATTGTCCCAGTGTCACACACACAGAGTGCGGGCTATAATGTTAGTGATGGAATGACAATGAAGCCATATACCACTTGTACAGAAACTCCAGTATTGGAACCTCTTGTCATTCCAGAACTTAAGGTTTCCCAGAAGAGCCTGCTGGACCCCAAGGAACACATCACCAAAGCTGTCTTTCCTTTGGGGTTCTGAGGACCAGAGAACACTCCCCATTGATTCGGAAAATTGGAAACATTTAAAACTCAGAGAAGGCCAGGCACGGTGGCTCAAGCCTGTAATCCCAGCACTTAGGGAGGAGGAGGCAAGAGGATTGCCTGAGTCCAGGGGTTCAAGACCAACCTGGGCAACTTGGCGAGACCTCATCTCTACAGTAAATCAAAACATTAGCCAGGCGTGGTGGAGCGCACCTGTGGTTCTAGCTACTTGGAAGGTTGAGGTGGAAGGATCGCCAGAGCCCAGTAGGTCAAGGCTGAGGTGGCCGTGAGCATGCCACTACACTACAGCCTGGGTGACAGAGTGACACTACAACTCAAAAAAAAAAAAAAAATCCCAGAGAAGGTAAAGCTTGTTTCCCTTGTGTTGCGTGCGGCAGACACTTAAGATGTGATGCATTACTAAGTTCATTTTTTGCAATAAACATTGCTTCTGTGTGTGTGTGTATATATATATTTATATATATATAAAATTTTTTTTTTTTTTTTTGATTTGGAGTCTCACTCTGTCGCCCAGGCTGGAGTGCAACGGCATGCATGCTCATGACCACCCCAGCATCGAACTTCTGGTCTCCAACGATCCTTCCGCCTCAGCCTTCCAAGTAGCTGGAAGTACAGGCGCGTGCTACCACGCCCTGCTAATTTCTGATTTATTGTAGAGACAAGGTCTCACCAAGTTGCCCGGGTGGGTCTTGAACCCATGGGCTCAGGCAATCCACTCGCCTCAGCCTCCCAAAGTGCTGGGATTACAGGCTGAACCACCGAGCCCGGCCAGTTCTATATATTTTTAACAAACTAAACAGTCTCTTTATCTCCTTTTGGTGCCTGTTTTTCACAGAGCATAAGGCATTCAGCAAGCCCATTTGAAGACAAGCCAGCAAAACAAAGCCCCAAAAACCTGCAGCTGCGAGCCCAGCCTTAACCTTCCTGCTCCTCATCACAAGGGTTTGTGTGGTGGGTGGGACGGAAGGGACAATGCCACCCAGCCTGTAGACACCAACGTCCCTCCCCATTACCTGTGCCTCCGAGGGTGGAGGGGGTGAGAAATAAGTGAACCCGGAAGAGGTCATTTTAATGTAGAACTTGCAACTTTGGTGCATAGTTCACAACCACCCGACAAAGAAACCAACCCGCCAAAGCCAGCATTTGGCATTCCATCCTAAAGCCAGTCCTACAGGGCCTGTCTGCCTGCTTGTCCTATTCCATGTCTCCCGTTGTCACCCCCACTTTCCTTGTGATTCGCAGCATGGTTGACTCTTGAGATTGCCGACCCTCTAAGCAGGGATCAGGTCTGACTTTTGACTTCTCTGTAACATCTGATACCTCAGCGGCACTCAGGGGATTTCAGATCACCGTGCAGTAGGGCCCAGGTGCCTACTGTGAAACACACACCAACAGCAGAAGCAAAAGGAAGAGATGCTTGCACACAGATAGTCAAGAAGAGACTTTTCTCCAAAGCCATGCCTCTGTTTTTTGACACCATCTGAGAGCCGAGGGGCCGGGAAGGCCTGGAAGGATATCCAGGCTTTGGCTCGAGTTGCTCCCACTCTCCAATTTCTATGAGGTCTGGAGAATGACTTTACCCCTCCTGGTGACCACAGCCACATCTGCATGATATGCAGAGGGAGAGCTGTGTAATTTATGATGTGTAAGATGACGATTATGAACTAGGATTTCACAAATCAAGCCCGGTGGAAACTCAACCTGCAGAGTCCGTTGACTTGCAGTCAAGCCCACATCCCTGCAGGATTTACTGCCGTGCCCCTCCGGCTCTCCCGTCATGGAGCCAGCAGGCTCCCACTCGGCCTTGGGGGCAGAGCTTTCACTAGTTACAGAATCTGGGAAGACATACAGCGGTCAGACACCAGCGGCCGGTTGTGTCAGGTCAGCAGAGAGTGCTTTGAAAAACTGGAAAGAGAACCCCTTTAGGAAAGCGGTAGCCCCCCAAACTCCCTGTTTTCCAAGCCCAGACCCTTTACACAGGTCTGTTACCCCCACCTCTGACTGTGTCATGCCTGCATAGACCTTGGAGAAGCAGGTGCCAGTTCTTAGCTATCCTCCTTCCTCCCCTCCTTGACTAAGGAAGACACCAGAAAGGTAAGGGCTACAATAGCAAGTGGTTCTTACTGTGCTGGTCGCTCCTGTCCCTCGTTCCATCCACAGTGCCATCCGGAAGGATCCTCAAGAAGTGGCCCCCGTTGCTGCAGTAGAGGAGTTTGGGCTTCTTGTAATTCCCCGGGGGCAGGTTGAACTTCTCGGTCAGGGCTGTGAAGGTTGTGATTTCCCCTTCGGCCATGGCTCAGCAGCTGCTGGTCGTGGTGCTTCCGAGACTGTAAGAAATTGGACCAGTCGAGCACGTTACATACTTTCAAGCAGGGAAGGACAGCGGCGGCCACGGGGCTTCCCGTTGATTAGGAACCACAGGTGCCCGGGTGATGCCTGCTGCCAGCAGGCCTGCGAGATGGCCGGCAGTTAGGGAAGGATGGTCCCTGGCTGGGTGGAGCTTTCAGGGCATCTGGCTCTTCCCAATTGGACACAGTTTGGGATCAAACTGTGCATTTTTTAGAACTTCAAGTTTAATTGTTTGGCCAAAGGGGAAAAAAATCGTGTTTGAGTCCCTCCTTCTGGTCCACACACATCCTCAAATTAAACACTGAAGCGGCACTAAAATAACACCCAGGACCTAGCTGAAACCCACAAAAGCTGAGAGGCCAGGCCCAAGGTCCTGCCCTCCACCCTCACACAGCCTTGACCAGGGACTGCCCTAGCAGATAGTGCAGGTGGCCTGGACACGACAATCAGGGGCCCACGTGCAAGGCGTCGGCAGCCCTTCAGGGACTCCAGAGTGACCACAGAGGGTTAGTATGTAAGGGAAACATTCTGGGTTAAACACTGGGGGGAACAGAACTGAAGCTGGGGAGTAAGGCTTCAGGGGACCTTTAAGGGCAGATGCCGTATGGAAGGAAGTGTGATGAGACAGGTCGTTATAAAGGTGTGCCTGGTCACTGCTTGGTCCACAGCCTTCCACATACCCTCCGTGGCCCGGAGAAGGTGGATCTGTCTCTTGTACACAGGCCATCTTCATCATAATTATCTTCTAACACAAGACATACTTAACGCAACACAGGAGCCTCCATATAACATTGTATGTAGCCCCTATCTACACTCGTATTGGTAACATAGCAGTGCATCAGTTATGTCTCTAAGGATTAAAAAATAAAGGCAATGAGCATTAGAACTTTAAAGCATATGCTTGTCCTACTGTGTAGGAGAAAGAAGTCCTGGTAGCTACAAAAGCTGCAAAAGAAAGAGACTAAAAAGCCATGAGCATGCCAGTGATAGTGTGAAACCCTGACTCAAAGAAAGAAAGAGAGGAAAGGAAAGAAAGAAAGAAGGAAAGAAAGAAAGAAAGAAAGAAAGAAAGAAAGAAAGAAAGAAAGAAAGAAAGAAAGAAAGAAAGAAAAGAGAAGAGCAGAGCCAAGTGTGGTGGCTCAAGCCTGTAATCCCAGCACTTTGGGAGGCCGAGGCGAGAGGATTGCCTGAACCCACAGGTTCAAGACCAGCCTGGGCAACATGGTGAGACCTCGTCTCTACAATAAATCAAAAAACAGCCAGGCATGGTAGTGCATGCCTGTAGTTCCGGCTACTTGGAAGGCTGAGGTGGAAGGATCGCTGGAGCCCAGCAGGTCAACACTGGGGTGGCTGTGAGTGTTCCACTGCATGCCAGTCTGGGCAACAGAGTGAGACTCCAACTCAAAAAGAAAGAAGGAAAGAAAGAGGCAAAAAAGAGACCAGGAAATGAACATAGGAGCTGTACTTTGTAGGTGTGACTAGTGAGTGTGATCATTGATACATATGCATGATCAAGTAGTCTTTTTTTTTGAGTTGGAGTCTCACTCTGTCACCCAGACTGGAGTGCAGTGGCCGCTCCTGGCCACCGCAGCCTCGACCTGCTGGGCTCTGGCGAGCCTTCCTCCTCAGCCTTCCAAGCAGCTGGAACCACAGGCATGTGCTACCACGCCCGGCTAATTTTTGATTTATTGTAGAGATGAGGTCATGCCAGGTTGCCCAGGAGGGTCTTGAACCGTGGGCTCAGGCAATCTACACACCTCGGCCTCCCAAAGGTGTGGGATTACAGGCTGAACCACTGAGCCCAGCCTGATCAAGTAGTCTTATTCTAACAGTGATCATCATCATCATTAACATAGTCTAGGCTACCACTTAACTCATGTTAACCTCACCATTACCCTTGGAAGTGAACACTAATAGTATCCCCACTGATTATAAACTGAAGCCAAAACTTAGAGATACTAAATGGCCTGTCCAAGCTCAACAGCTGGTAAGTGGTGTTGTGAGCTGAACCTTAAAAGAAGTTTATGAACACAAAGCCCCAATTTGCCTTTAACCATCGTGAAAAGGTTAAGTGACTTCACTAATACTGCAGTAAATTTTTTTTTTTTTACCAGAATTGGGGTTTTTACCCACTACCTAGCATGTACATTTGTCCCTATAAACTTGTCACTCATTTGGTTATTGATTTGTGACCAAATGTTGGCTATCTCTACCAACAGCCTCTACTTTTGCCCACATGCCCACCTTAGGGAGGAGCCCACGCACTTCCTCATTCCCTGGGAGAAGCCCACACCATCTGCACTATGAGACTCTTGAAGGACCAGCTAACCACCTGCATTCCCTGCACTGACCATCCATCCATCCTGCAGTAGCCTTGTCGGGACTGCTCTTGTAGAAGGCAGTTCCCTTGGAAATCAAGGTTCCAATTACAGTGATTTGTTTTCATGACTTTGGAATTAGGGTCATGTTGGAAGGCTCCATTTATTTTCTCTGCTCATGGGCCAGTCATCATTCCCAGTTTCAGCTACTATTGGAGGTGACTCCAAAGACCCCTAGAGAGAACTTTGCAGGCACTGTTGAAACTATATTTAAAGTCAGACATCCCAGCCGGGCTCAGTGGCTCAGCCTGTAATCCCGCGCCTTTGGGAGGCTGAGGTGAGTGGATTGCCTGAGCCCGTGGGTTCGAGACCCGCCCGGGCAGCGAGAGCTCATCTCTACAATAAAATTTTTAAAAAATCAGCCGGGCGTGGTAATGCATGCCTGTAACTCCGGCTACTTGGAAGGCTGAGGCGGAAGGATAGCCGGAGCCCAGCAGGTCGAGGCTGCGGTGGCCGGGAGCGGCCACTGCACTCCGGTCTGGGCGACAGAGTGAGACTCCAACTCAAAAATAAATAAATAAATAAATAAAGCCAGACATCCCAAACATCCCTTCCACATATAGTAAAACTCTGATCAGTTCTTTTCACATAATACAGTAAAAGAGAGAAAATTAATTTTTATGTCAATTTCACAGGGAGGACTGCAGAACTGACCTTGCATAGCACATTGCATTTCTCTCCCAAATCCCCACTACCTCCTCTAAACCCTTTCCTTTCATCCATGGCCTCTAAGTCTCTCTGTGCCCACCTCTGTCTCACTCACTACATCTCTCTACTCACCTCTCTCTCAACCCAGGCTTTTGCCCAAATTCCTCCCTCCCCTCCCTTCTGGACCCCCATCTGACATAAAGCAATTTATCTCTTCCAAACATGATAACTTCACCCCTCACCACTCCATTAGCTCACAGTCATTACTAGACTCCCCTAAAATGAAGTACAACTAAGAGATAATAAAATTTTTTCTTTCACTAAATTTTTTTCCAGACACGTCCTAAGACTTAGTGTGATGCAGGAGACAATGATTATATAGTTATATGATAATTTTATACTAGTGGTTGCCATTTAACTGTACAAATAGTCCTTTGTATTACCAGTCTTAGGTGGGCAGAATTTTGTTTCTTGTTGTCTCTGAGTTTCCTTCAATGAAGATCTCTGATTTTGAGGCAGCTGCAAGTTAAGGATGGCCTTTCTTCCAGATCCAGCCCAGTAAGGAGTCTCCCTTAAGTTGTTTACCAAGTGTGGGCATGGATTTGGCTCTATCCATTTGCATTCTTGCTTCCGTCCCACTGGGATGAAGAACAGATGCACTAGAAGGCTGGTTGAGGATGGGGATACCAGCTCTACCTAGGGATTACCCTAATGCTCACATTCACATGTGTGTGTAAGCCATGCAGCCTGGACTTCATTACTGTGGAGCTCTCACTGGCTAAATAACCTCAGCCAGAGCCCGTCAGGTCCTCAGGGTCCCCTCTCTCCTGATTGCGGTGCAACCTACAGTGGCCACTAGCGCACCCCAATAAGAGCACTAGTTATATATAACACTAGTTATACAAGGCCACTAGCTCACCCCAATAAGAGGGACAGTCATGGGAGTGGTTGTACTGATGTCAGAAGGCTCCTACACCCTTCAGTTCAGATCCATACCTCTTGACTCTTGAAAATAAGCCTGGAGTCAACATGAAGTGGATAGACCACAGCAGCGGGGTTTATGAACCAGCCGAAACATACCAAAAAATGAAATTTCTTCTTGTTGCTAAAGGAAACCCTAGGGGCATGAATAGTCCTTATTTTTAATGTCATTTACAATTTACCTATATTTTCAGCAGTAGTTGGTCCAAAGTGCCTTTTCCAAATCACAATTTGTTAAAGGATAGAAATAAAGGAAGTATATGATGTGATAAAACCATAACAGCCACCTTAGCAGGCCCTTGGGGATTTAGACAAATTGCTCTAATAAATGAATCCATTAACTGAGTGAAATCAGACATTAAGCATAATGGAAATTTATAAGCTCTGCTTCTTGTTACTATTTTATTTTTATTGGCAGTCAGGGGAGGGGATTATCTGTGTTGTGTTAGGAGACAGAGAAGATCAAGCCCGATGAACTTCATGTCATCATTGTGCACAAAGCCCAGCCTTTTGAGATCCGGGGCAATGGTGAGGTTTTAGGGAAGCCAGATAATGTTCCTGATGTACCAGTGATGCCCAAGTGAAAGAAACACCAAGCCTATTGGAACATCCATGTTAAGGCTTACTTTCTTTGTCAGCTGTGGCCTCTGGAAGGGGACCTAAACCCTGACACACGAACAGGGTCATACTCTTGCCCAGGAAGGCGTAGTCACTCCGCAATGCAGGGTAGTGAGCAACCACTGCACAGTCCTGGCTATGCACAGATCGGCTCTGGGAACCTAATCATCCCCACTAATCATCCCCACCCTCTCTAATGCACGGAGCTGTCTGAAGGAGTAAATGGAGTGTAATTCACACAGCGCTTGAAAATCATAAAAATGTGATCTGGCCTCTAGGAGATATCAGTAACTGGAGGTGTTGAACTAGGTGATGTCTGGTGTGATCTAGGTCTGGGTCAGCTGTAATTGAAT